AAAAAAAAAAGAAGCTGAAAGAAAAAAATTTTGAAGTTGTATTATTATTCCTCAAAATTGTTTTTTATTACACTCTCGAAAACTATCAACTCGGCCCAAAGTGACCAAAACGGATTACGTGGGAGTAAAAAGAATAAACATATAAATGCACTGATGAAAATTGAGGTGCAGCTATGCCTGATAAAAACGGCGTGGGTGAAAGGGCAAGAGGTAAATCATCGTGGTACTCGAGTTGGCCCTCGAAGGTCTTTATCACTTGTTTATCCTTACTGAAATCCTTCACCATTGCTGCAGTAGAGACGATTAAGAGAAATTTAACAAGGATTTATAATAGACCTGGGTTACTCTTCGAGAGAAATTTATTTCAGAAAAGTAAAGTTAAATGGTCGAGAGAAATTTATTTCAGAAAAGTAAAGTTAAATGGTTGAAAGGAGGATGAACCCATGAATATTGAATAAATATTGTTAAACAAATGAAGAAGCAACTAATTTCCCTGAGAAAGCTATTGGCCAATTTGACAAGAAGAAGAATGAATATGCTGCTTACCTCTTCAGGGCAATTTAAAACTGCTCCTGTATGAACAACGATGGCTGTGATTATCTGCAGATTATAGAGCCTGTATTGGCTATGGCTATATCTTTATCTACAACCTGCACGGTACAAAGTCGTCAGTGATCAAATCGCTTATCTTATAGCAACAAGATGGAAAGTGCAAAAAATAAAAGATTGAAAGTGCAAGATCTTCGATTCATTCTTTATTAGTTTCTATTCATACACTACGTCTAAGATCAACAGGGAATATGGAAAACAGAAACAAGAAATAAGGTAAAAAAATGAATATCCTTAAGATCCATTTTCAAATATAGCAGCAAGCAATATGAAAAATAAGTGGCTGATTGACAGGGGAAGTTTTTGTTCTAAGGACCAGTTTTCTCCGTTTCTAGTTGCTTTTACAATCATATAAATGAACCAAAAGGAAGATCTTTCCTTCAGATATGAGGTAAGGACCTCAGATCATGTTTGAATGCCGTCTTTAAACTTTATCGTTAGATATCAAACTTTAATGGCTAAAAGACTTTTTCCTTGTTCATTGAATTAGAAACAGAGAGATTGAAATACAAGGCCATAAATTTCACGATGTGCTGCACAAGGAATACCTTGTTCAATATGGCTTTTTGTCTTGGAAATCGGGAATTGAAATTATCATAGCTTAGAAGTTTCTTGTCACGAGAGGATCGTAATCATAGGCTTCACCTGCTTTCACAAAACGACCTTTCACCCTTTTTCTTGTATCAGCTCTCGCTTTGCGAGATGCATATCTTATTTGCTTTCCAAATCTGAACACGAAGGAGGTGCAAAGATCATCAGTGGAATGATTGGAAGAGCCACCTCTCTTCTCAAAATTGGCTCATATTACTTGCCAGTTTTCAACAATAAAATGCCAGATAATGACACTGCAAAAGCAGAATCTTTATATCTCAACGGCAGAAGCCATGAGGATGAATGAAAATACCTCACACTAAACATGTTATCCAAAGAGATGCATGCAAATGATGGTAAGACAAGAGAAAAAAAGAAAAAAAGGATACTTACGTTCTAGTTTTTTTCTTTTCATTGTATCTCATCTTAGCTTTATCCCTGTTCCTGTCCTTTGCTTGTGGACCGATAACTTCCATACTAGGATCCCATGAGGTTTCTGTCAAAAATGCTGGCGATAAACCGCAGTCTTGATAATCTGCAGCACTGCTTTCGCCAGTGATATTCGACAGTGAAAGTGAAATGCTTGAATGAACCTGACCGGTAGGAAATCCAATGTTGAGATTTCCGTTGCAACTAGGATTCATAAGCATGCAATTTGAATTGCCATTTTGAATCGTGTTCATGGAAAGACCGACTTGGGATGAATGAAATCCCATATAATCTTGTTGCCCCGGTGATGACTCCTAAATTAAAATGAAAACTACTATTAGTATTAGCGATGCATCAAAATCCTGAAAACTTCGCACAACCAAAAGCAGACTGAATATTTTCGGCAATCCAAAAGATGCAATCGGGAGCCATTATTAATGGCCCCTCCCTACGGTGCTTGCTTGTCAATGGAATGCACATCTAAAATGTCCTGAAATGTACACAAGTTGTTTCCTACATACCTCAATAGCATTCTCAACAGGGCCATTAGATTCAGTCCCTGACAAGTTTTTATCCATTAGAAGATATTCCAATTCTCCATCCTGGAATTGACATTTGACTGTACCTTGTGGACACGCAAATAACTCCTCCCCACCTTCCAAGTTGAGCGGGACATTCCCAATATTCAGGCCCTCACATATATCGTTATTGTCATGAGTTGCAATATCCTTAAAATCGGTACAACTCTGAAATCACAGGTCGCAAGAATCAAATACAGTCCCTGACATGGATCTGAATCAGATCTACAATGCGGAGATGAAATGTAAGTAGAGTACCTTCGGAAGATCGGAGTCATCGGAAAGAAACGAGGGCTGGGGTCTGGAGAAAGGCAGCTGGTAAGAGGGATTGGGAGGAAAGGCGGAAGCGGGGGCGATCCAGGGCTCGAACTTAGAGCAAGAATCAAGGTCATTCAACTTGGGGGCGCCCAATCCAGCAGCTTCGACATCCGTCAAAGAGATGGAATTGTCGTTTATAGATGGCGTGGGGAGTGAGGCCCAATCGGCGGCAGCATCGAAGCCAGTGGAACAGGAAGGGGCCTCGAGAACGGAAGACCAAATCCGGGAGAACTCGGGCATGGAGGGGCAACCGGTGTAACAGTGGAGGACCGGACGGCGATGGCCGACGGAGGAGCAAGCATTGCCGTTCCAGTCGCAGCCGTGACAGAGGGAGAGTTTATCATCCATACAGCGGACAATGGCGGGCTGGGCATTGCACTTATCGCACAACAGAGAGCGGAGATGGCGTCGCGATAAGGAATTGGCGGAGTGGACACTCCCGTCACAGTGCAAACACAGACGAGCCGAATCGGATTTACAATAAACAACCGCTCTCACCACTCCACAGAACTCGCACAGAGGTTCCATAATTTCCTCCTCCGCTTGAATGCTTTGAATTATAATAAATTAATTATAATTCTAATATTTTGTTTTTTGATCTATTCAAATTTTTCTTTTTCTTTTTTTCCTTTTTTTTCTTCTCTCTTATAACTATGCTACCGAATTTAAGCTCGTGGCGGGAATTGGGCTTTATTGTTGTAATCCTCCAACAGAAAACGTGCCAAACCTTCATCATTCAAAGTAACAGAAAAAAAAAAAACTGTCAAATCTAAACAAAACATTGTTTTTTCGTTGTTGTTTTTTTTTTCACTCGCCTCTTGACTTACTCACGGTGACGTGACACTTATTTTTGCCTCTCCATTCAAATATCTATTCTTCGATATTTCTGGTATGATGAGTATAACTAGTACTTAAAAATGTTATTTTTTTCTTTTTAATAAAAAATAAAAGGTAAAAAGCTTGATAAATATATGTATTTATTAATTACATATATCAGCAGCTACTTGTGAATCTATATGTACAACATTTGGCTTGACTTCAAAAATAAAAATATATATAACGTAGAAAATGATCTAATGGCAGTTATTTTTCACATAAAAGTGAACAGAACTCAAGTTTTTTTTTTCTTTTAATATTTAAAGAATGAGTTAACATATAATATCTTTTTAAATTTTTATTAAACTTTGAACTTTTCAACTCTTATTTTAGTCTTCGATAACTATTTTATTTTTTATTTCTAATTTTTAAAATTATATTTGTTTGCTGACAATTTTCTTTAGTATAGTATGTTTTAATCTTTCTTATAAATAAATTTGAAACTTTCTTATAAATAAATTTGAAACTTCAGCCAAATTTTAAAACCATGATAACAAGTTTTTGAAAACTACTTTTTCCTAATTTTCAAATTTAAATTTAAATTTTGAATATATATTTTTTTAGAGAATATGCAAAACAAAAATATATAAGTAAAAGCAGGGTAAATTTTATTTAAAAAAAACAATCTCATTGTTGTTAATTTTTATTTAATAAAATCCTGACAAGGACACATGACACATTTTGCTTATTTATCTAACAAATAAATTGTTTATGCCATTGAACTCGCTATAGTAAATGAAGTGTCAAGTTCCAAAACAATTTCATATTTTTATCAAACAATTCATTTAAAACTAATAAGAAGTATTAAAATAATTTTAGAAACTTAAGAATTAAAATAAAATATTTAAAATTAAAAGATTAGAACTAAAACAAACATTTAAAGGTTTAAAGTTTCAAATAGCAGTTAAACTATCTATAATTTGTAATTAAAACATAGCAGCAATTCCTTATACTATTTTTTATCTGCTTCAAAAATTATGATCATTCAAGAAGCAATAAGAGTTCTCTTAACAAAAAAATATAGTGTAAACTTTTTTAGAAAATACAAAAATACCGTTTTTTGTAAATTTTGTTTACAAAGTAGAATCAATTGAGAAGATAGGAGCCACGGTTGCACAAAAAAAGAAAAAAAAAATCCTTCGATCGTCTCACCGGCTAGCAAGTTACCAATTCAATTAACTATTTTGCAGAATTTCATATGGTTAAAAATAGATGAAAAGAAATTAGGAGGAGATGGAATGTGAAGTTTTTTTTTTTTTAAATATTTACCTCTGAGTGGAAGGAGATGCCGAAGTTCTGCCAAAAAATTGCTTAAAGCACAATCAACAAAGATGAAGAAGGTAAGGACAGAACCCATTAATGGCGGCAGCCAAACCAGTTTGAAGAAGAAGAAGAAAGGCAATTATCTGAATGGAGAAACAAAACTGAGCTATCCTCCGATTTTGGAACACTGTATTTTTGCTTCTACATTTGGTTATTTATTCAGGTCTTGCTTCTGCTGTTTTCTCTGCTTGACACGTGGCTACATTTGGGCCTGAGTATTGATAGTATGATGATGTGGACAGGCTGGGTTTTGAACGAGTCACAAACTGATTGACACATCATCCGACATATATGCAATTTTTCGGGGATACGAGACCTGCAACCTCCGAATCTGTAGATCGTGTTTTGTACACGTGGGACTTTCTTCTTTGCTGCCTTGGCATTGGCTGCTGGTTTTTAAATAATACTTTCTAAATTAATATATAACATATTTAAATTATTTGTTGTGAATTATTAAACTCTCTTTTCTTTTCTAATAATTAAAAACTTAACGAGGAGACTTCAACATTGGTGAGATAAAATCAAGATAAAAGATCAATTACTAATATGTTTCGATTTTTATCTTAAATTTAGATATCTGTTTTCACCTTAATTTATCTTAAAATTTAATAAATACTTTAAATTTTACTTTTGAATGAACTTCTATTTGTGAATTTTGTGATATTTATCTACTTAGTTTTAATTTTGCGTGATGCTTAATGTATGGCAAATTAATGCACATTTGTTACAAAGTTAGAAATAAAATTTAATTTTGTTTTTTTTCCACAGACAAAGTTCATAAAATTGACCCAATCAGGACCAGYCAATCCAACGAGACTCCATCAATAAATAGAAAGAGTAGCCTCATGTGTGCATTGTACTTTTTTTTACATCTACTATTTGCTACGCTCAACTTAATCTATTGTCTCACTCTATGTTTACTTTATTAAAAACTTTTCTTAATTGAACTCTAGTCCTAAATTTTTTTTATGAAAATATCATTTTTTTCGATTAAAAAAACTCGGAGTGCTAGATCCAACCTTGAACTTGTAGGCTCGAAAAATTAATTTATCATTTTTCTTCTATTTGAGTTGTTTGATGGGGTTAAATAAAAAGCTATAAAATTTCGATCCTAAAAACAAGCCAAAGATATCTACAAATTTAAACAGTGTAATTTATCACAAAATACTAGTTGTAGTTGTTAGGATACATTCATTCTCAAAGTAATCGGAGAATAAGATTTAAAGTGAAAGAAAGAGCAACCTTGGAGACAAATATTATTACATCTCAAACCTAGAAAACTTACTCAAAATAATGATTCAATTCAAAGAAAATTTTGTATAGAACTTCTTTTAGAAATTTTAATTAGTTAAATTGATTTTCTTTTAAAGTTTGTCTTTTTAATTTAAGATTTTTTTATAGTTAAACTTAATTTATCCTCTCGATTTTTTTATAATATGTTTTTCTAAAAAGATTTTGTTAGTTTTTTTAATAGTTAAATTTAATTTAAAGTTTGTTTTTAAGAAATAAATTTTTGGGTTTGTTTTAAGATTTTGTTAAATTTAATTTGATTTTTGTTTTTTAAAATATAATAAAAAATCTTGAAAAAATACCACTTGTAGGTAAAGAGATTAATTAAAAAAAAACACAATTACAAGTTGTCTCTTGAGAGACAACCTATGTTACCAAAATGTAGAGCGTGGTCTGTATTTGATGTTAAAAAAACAAAAAAAAAAATATAAACAACTTGTTGTCGCTTTAGGAAAGAACAAGTTAACAAGAAGTTGTGGCTTTAAAAAAAAGAAATGTAAGCACCAAATTTACAGATGGTCTCTACATGTAGCTACCACCTAATAAGTCGTTTCTTGATTTTCTAAGTATTATTTTTGATATATTTTTAAAATAATTTAACAAGTCATATTAAAAAAATGGATATTTAACATGTAACTCTGAATATAAATAATGCTTCCAAAAGCAAAAGCATAAGACATGAAAAGTTATGGGCCAATTTCAAATATTGCCCATGTCATATAAAATCCTACTTTGCTAGCAGGCTAAATACACCCGAGAACCCAAGCCCAAACTAAGTTGTCAGTTTCTTAGCTCGCATCATAACCACAAAAATTGTTAGGCTCAAAATTAAAATATTAGCCACTGGCAAGAGGGAAGAGAGAGAGACGGAACAAAATTCCTTTTTGGACCGAATTAAATCTCAGGCATAGAATGAGTCTGAGAATGGAAGCAAACTGCATTCTGGATTAGGTGCAAGTTCCAAACTTCACCTCCAACAGAGAAATTTGGGTGGTCGACCCTTCACGTTACTTTCCCCGGCGGCCTATGATGCACTTACACGTGTCGGTAAGCCAGGCCAAACCAGATAAACATTCCCCCACCCGGCCCTCTTAAGCCAAAGGCAGCACTCGGATGGATAAAATGGTGTTTTAAATGTTAAGCGGCAGCGGCAGTGAGTTGGTGGAGGGCGATCATGCGGCGGCGGAGCCAACCCCGAGAGTGCTCATGATACTGTCGTTGGTGCTGGAGCGGCTGGTGGCTCGCAACGACGCCCTCATAAATGGGGTCAGGGAGCTGCCGCTGGAGGAGTCCGGGTCCGGGTGCTACCACAGCCACATCGGGAACAGCTTCAACGCGTTCCAGGGAGTGAGACCGCCCGGCATCAGCATATTGAAGTACTTGGAGAGAATATACAAGTACACCAATTGCAGCCCTTCTTGCCTCGTTGTTGGCTTCGTTTACATCGACAGGCTCCTCCATCGACACCCCCATTCCCTCGTCGCCTCCTTGAATGTCCATAGGCTTCTCGTCACCAGCGTCATGGTTGCCTCTAAGATGCTCGACGATGTGTCAGTCTTCTTTTTACTTATATAATAATCCAAATTAAATAGTTAATAGCGAGTAATCTGATTATAATTAAATTCTGCCAATTTGATTTGAGATGATGTTATTGATGACTCAGGCATTACAACAATGCGTTCTACGCGCGGGTGGGAGGGGTGACCAAAGGGGAGCTCAACAAGCTGGAATTGGAGCTGCTTTTTCTCTTGGATTTTGACCTCACCGTCACCGCGCGGGCTTTCCAGACCTATTGCTTCCACTTGGAGAAGGAGATGCTGTTGAACGGTAACGGAGAGATGCACAGGATCCAAATGCCGCTGCCGCTCCTCGTCTCCAATAGCTTGGACGACGTGTCGGAAATTTCCGTGGACGACAGTACTCTTATTTCTTCTTCGCCGCCCCAACCTGTCGACTGACCGACCTTCTTTTAATTTTCTTCTCCCATTTTCTTGCTTTCTTGTTCCCCTGTCGCTCAATGTACCGATTCAGATTATTGCTGAATCCAGAAGAAGAATATTGAATTCAGTCTCACGGATATTCCATATATATTGGAAACTTTTCATTTTTTAAGCTTTTTGAACTCAATTTTTCAAAATTTTTTTTTTTTAAGAAATACGTGTGGGGTTTAAACTTCTGCTAATGAATGCTGTACTGGGGAGAGATGCATAGAGTCGAATGAAATCGATAGTATAAATTGAATCCAATCAAACAAATTATAATTAAATTAAATTAGATAATTCAAAAGATGATGCCCCGGCCCAACTCACTTCATTAATGCCTCTACTCATGACTTAAAAATAACCAATTATTTTTAAAATTAGTTTGTTCTATAATTAAATGCTACAAAAACACACGTTCTTGGAATTATAATGAAGAAAAAAAATAATTTACTATGTTTAATTATTAAACGAGGAATAAATATCATAAAAATGATTAAGGATTTAGAAACGGGGTGTGGGCGGGGAGAATACAATCATGTCTTAAAAAAGAAATGAGAAAAAAAAAATTAATAATTATCATAAATTTTTTTTTACTATGTTTAATTATTAATTTAGGAATAAATATCATCAAAATAATTAAGGATTTTAGAAATGGGGTGTGGGCGGAGAATACAATCACGTCTTCAGAATGAAACGAGGAAAGAAAAATCTCTCCTCTCATCCATTAAATTAAAGAGTCTCAATATGAAAAATTATAATAATGATCATTTGGTAGTCTAATTAACGACATAAATTCATTATGTTAGACAAATTATAATTAAACAGAATTTGAAGGTGAATATGTAAATGATTTTGTAGAAGTCCCTTTGGTTTTCAATGAGCCCAATTTCGGAAAGCCCATATGATTTTGGGAAGTTGGAGTACAGAGTGTTGTACTAGGGAGGGGAGAGTAGTCGCCGAGTTCACCACGTCCTCTCTCTTCCCCGCGAGGTGACGGGGAAAAATAGAATAGGGAAATAAAACTCGAAAAATCGAGGCATTTATAATTCATCGGTTGCATCCACCATTGACGCCATCGCTTCTGGTATTCCTCTTCTTCCAATTCCCCTGCCCCTTCTACCAAACAACTTTGACGCGCCAACGATTCTACTCCGATTCTCCGGAGTTCAAATCCCTCTATCCGCTTGCTTCTGCTGGATTATCATATTCGTAACGGAAGAAAAGCTAATTGACGGGTGTTTGAGTTCTCCCATGGCCGAAAATTCTTCCAAAGAGGAGCTACTCCAGCTGATCAAGCGGTTCGGGGATTATCTCACTGTCAAGATGTCTAATTTGTTGCCGATCTCTCTTCAGAATCTGGTTCTAATCTCCAACCCTGTTTTCTTCTTTTGTTCGTTTTTTGATAGATCTGACGGGCTTTAGGTTTCTGCTGCTGGGTTTTTTACGCTGGATATTTGATAAAATTTTATCGTTCATTTTGTTTTATTTTCTCCCTTTTTTTGTGCGTATTCTGTTCTCTTTTGAAAAGTTTTTGGTTCGAGCTGTGGGTTATTTTGATATGAATTGTATGCTTCAACTAAAATGTTGATTGTTTCTGTCGTTGGATTTTCATAATTGGTATTCAATAATTCAACCCGCTGACAAGGCAGTAAGAGATTTCTCTTTCGAATTGGTGCTTTGTGTTATGGGGTCTGTTGGCCAAACTTGACGTCATGTTATTAGGCCTTGCAAAGCTGTTATATGAGTTACCAAAATGATTACTACTGTTTTTGTTCTGCAGTACTCACGCCTCGAGGACGGTATATTGTGTTCAATTATCATACGTAGGTCGTCCTTGCCAATTAGCAATTATTTCAATTGCTATTTCCAAATCTATATTGTTTTCGTCATCAGTTTCTGCCATAATTACTTATAATGTATATAAATCGTTCCGCTTGGTTATCAATCTTTCCCCCACAAAGAAATGGTTAGCAGTGAGGTGTTGAGTCCTTATCGAGAAAAAGAAAGAAAAAGGAAAAAAAATTCAAAGATTCAATCGATCATCCTAATGGGCTATAGTCTTTTGATCTTTTACGTACTGAGATATTGAGCTTTATGTTAGGGAACTAGATTATTATCAATTTTTAATTTTTTTTCTCCATTGGATGTTCATAAGACCCAAAAAATAGATAAAAGAAATGTCAAATCGGTCCTTTTCTGGTCTAGTTTGGTTCGAAGGTCCTTCCATTTTGGTGCTGGGAAATTGATTCAGTTTTTGTGCCTTGTCTGGTCTAGTTCAGTTCAGATGTCATTAAAAATAAATAGCTCAGTTCAGTTTTTGGTTTGGTTTAATAACTTAAATACTTTTTGTGCTGATGGTTTCTAATCTGTATGGAAGAAAAGTAAGTTGTTTCTCCTTTGTTACCAATCRACATACAGGGGGGAAAAGGGTAATTTGGTGTCTAACTGAAATCTTTTGAAATTTGATCAGGATTCACGATCTGTTGGGGCTATTGCTGGATTTGCTGTTGCAATAATTTTCACATGGAGGCTGTTGAGGTCGCCTAATGGACATCAGAGACAACAACCAAAAAGGCAAATGCCTGCACCTAGTAGTTCTAGTGTTGCGTTAAATTCAAATGCAGAATTTATATCTTCAGGAGTTTGTTCATCTTCAGAGGATTCAAGAGCGCAAAATGTTGTTGATGAGTTCTTCCAGCCAGTGAAGGTTAGAGCTCAAATTATTGCCAATATGCTCTTATGCCCTTTTAATTTTGTTCCGTTCACATGAAAAATTTTAAAGATTTTCTCTCATACCTTTTTCTTGTAGCCAACTCTTGGCCAAGTAGTGAGGCAGAAATTGAGTGAAGGAAGAAAGGTAACCAATATCCACCTTATTTGTCCATCTTTGTATTTGCAGAACTATTGCCGTATTGTATGAAATTTTGGTGAAATATCAAAATATGACATTGTATGAGGTAAGTGATATAATTTTAGAAAGAGTCCAAGTTTTGACATTAAAAATTTGCTATGTTTAGGTAACATGTCGTTTGCTTGGAATAATTCTTGAGGAAAACAGTCCAGAGGATCTGCAGGTATATAGCTTTTCCTTTTAACAAATTTTGTGCTTGAAACTGCTTTAGGGATTAGGGAATTTCTAATATGGTTTACTTTGTTTTGCATCAGAAACAAGCCACTGTGAGGTCCTCGGTATTGGAAGTACTGTTGGAGATTACGAAATATTGTGATCTTTATCTCATGGAAACAGTGTTGGATGATGAGAGCGAAGTGAGTGCAAATTTATGCTTTATGGAATTTTATGATTCTTCATATAATATATATAATGTCTCAACAAATGTAGAAGGGACGCCTTGAAGCCAAAATCTCTCCCCACTCATGTTTACTTTTCTGTCTTCCTAAGAATATGTATATGTTGTCACATGATTAGGATGTCATGCGCTACTAGGAGTGTAAACCTGAGTTCAAAAATTGATCAATTTGGACAAATCAATATCATCAATGTTGTTAAAACACGACTGGATGCTTAATGAATCTCCTTGAACCTAGGAAGTTAAAAATTCAAACTCACTTTGCTTGCAGTGTCAGGTCTTGCATTTGCATTTCGCTCACCAGCCTGTTGTGTTTGTGCATTGCACTTATGCGCATGCCTACCACACATGGTGCTCCTTGCTAGACACGCAGCTTTTTGCAACATCCTTTCTTGCACTTGCACTTGCTATAACCTCCTTTTGCACTTGCCTGTTTAGTACGCACACAACCCCTGCACGCTGTCTGTTTCAAGTTGTGTATGGTAGTACCCTACTACTGCCACACATAAAACAATGCCCCCAGCTGCAATGGTGTGGGGGTGTCAGAGGCTGTTGCCTCGTGGCCAGCTCGAAGGGGCTGAAATTGGCCATCCTTAGCCAGTTAGTATGCTACATTACATGCATAGGCTACTTGCCCATTTCATGGCACACATCAGCATTGCTAATGCCAACACCCTCGTTCTGCCATGTGGGGCACTAGTTTCCCATGGCCCCAACTCTGGGTCGTCAGTCAGCCTTGTAAATCTATGTAGGTGGCCCCTCCAGTGTGCACTGCCCACCACTCAACCCTAGTATGGTATGGTACGTGGCTCAAAACCGTGCCGAGTGAGTAAGGTCTAATGTCCTCAAGAAGATTTTTTATTCATATTCCCACAGTCGACCACCATTCTTATTTCATGGAGTTTTACGCCTTTTGATACAACCATTGCTTTGTTTTCTGTCTGACTTTTGAATTCCTTTACATGCTTCTGTTCAATCATACAAGGATGGTTTATTTATTCTTGGGAAAAGTTCACTTTTTAGCATTGAACTTGGCTCAATTTGTCATTTTAAGGTCCACCAAAATAGATCCTAACCAATAAAACACTCAATGTCAAGCCACAAAAATGCCCAAAATTGAACCATGAAAATGTACAAACGTTGGAACACATTTAAGTTGATAGAAAAGTGCTCAAACTCAACAATAAAATGTTGGAATAGATCTAAAAATTATCCAAGATGGCCTAAAGAATCAATTCTCACAATAGTAGCATTGCCCAGTTACAAAGTAATGAGCTATAAATCTTAAAAGATAATTATAAACTTGACTAATTGGGAGCACTAATTGCCCTACTGTTTCAAGTTTAGAGTTAAATTCAGAAAAAGTTTAAGGTTAGAATAGATAAATTGAGTCAAGTGCAGGGGAAAAGGTTTTCCTTTTATTCTTCTTCGATGTACTTTTAAGGTGGCATTGACTCATGGCTGTGTTTATAGCTTTTTAAATTTCATTGAAACATGCTTTCTTCAGAGTGATAGGTGCTTGACTTTGTATTCTTTTCCTGTTGTTTTCCTTCTTGCTGATCTCACATGCAATATGTTATCCGTCTTTCTAATTGTACATATAAAATATTTGTGCAGAAAAGAGTTATTTTGGCACTTGAAGATGCGGGGGTTTTCACATCTGGTGGTCTGGTCAAAGACAAGGTTCTTAAACGTGGCTTGTTTCGACTTTGATAGTATCTTATGATTTTGTTTTCTTATCTCTGAATTACTGAAAGCACAATATTTCGGCAATATTAGGCTCGTATGCTCTGTTAGGAACTTAACTTTAGGAATTAAGTTATTTTCCTGTTTCCAAGAAAAGACACTACAGGAAAAAGCTGAGAGTAGAAAAATTCTTTAATACTATGCACATTCCAGCAAACGAGAGCTTATGGTATCTCTGACTCCCTTAATTGGAACTTCTCTAAAGGTAGCTGACATGTTAGTAATTGCACAAGCTTTGATTGGAAGCAAACCATCTCTTGAGTTGGTTGGGTGTTTGCCTAGAGAGAATTAGGAGGCAGCCATTGCTTTGCTTTTAATTAATTGAGGATTGTTTGTAGGTTCTCTTCTGTAGCATAGAAAACGGCCGAACATCTTTCGTTCGTCAACTGGAACCCGATTGGCATATAGATTCAAATCCCGAAGTCATTTCTCAGTTAGCTGTAAGTTAACCACCAATTATCTTGTTGGCAGAATTATTGCTCTGTATCTGATCTGTAAATACGTTGTGGTGATTACTAATACTTTTTCTGCATCCATCACCAGAGGTTCATCAAATATCAACTTCATATAGCTCCAATGAGACATGAGCGAACCGCTTCTAACGTCTTCAGCTCTCCGTCCTTGGAACAGTTCTTTGGAAACATTTGACAGGAAAACCAGTTTAAGAATGGAATTAATTTTCAAAAATATAATTTTTCCATTTTATTTGCCCTTGTTGGCTGTAAGTGCATTAGACCCTTACGTTCCTTCTGGTTCTTCTGGAACTAAGCTTAGTCTGCACTCAGGCCGCGGTTGCTGCCTGCTGGTGTTAGAAAAAATAGATGTACCATGTTTTTTTTCTTCCCTTTTTCTTTTTGTTTTGTTTCTGCAAAGATCTTTTGGGGTTCATCTTGTGTTATCTTGTTATAGCAACTTCATGTCCCATTAAAAGCTTCCTAATTTAGCTGATGTATGTAATTTATACATATTTATTGGATCATCTCACCAATTTCCTATTAGATTAGTTTTCAGTGGCCTTTTGTTGTATTGATCTTGAAAGTGTCTGGAGTCGATGAATGAGAGTTAAGGTTATGCGATAAAAGCTGCATCTTTCCATACTATGTTAATTGTCTTAATTATAAATTTTCGCCCTTAATACTTTTTTCGTTAAAAACATTTCCTGTTATCAGATTGGAGGAACGTTGAACACAAATAGACCCTCTTTTAACAGGTTGATTACTAAAATGCTTGCAATTAAAACCTAAAAGAGCAGTGCAAAATTGGTAGGTTATAGCATTTTTCTAAATATATTATTTTCTTTAGTATTAAAAAAACGAGGTATTTTTTTTCTTGGGGCTTGTCAATTAATAAGATTGGATTGTGCTACTCTGGAGGTCCCTTGATGTTGAATACTGAAATTCTGGCGCCTCACATTTGTTTTATAAACAATTAGTTGGAATTGTCTTTTAATTAATCATTTATTCAAGAGGTCACTTATGTTGGAGAAAAAAATCATGAAATTGTTAGTCAAATAAATCAAGATATCGGTTAAAATAATAAAAATAATAAATAATCTGAATATAAATAAACACTAAAAGCTAATGGTGTCGTTGATGACTAATTGATTTGCTATTTTTTGTTCCAATTTTTTTATTTTTGAAAAACAAGCTTGTTTGGTAAGTAATTCATTTTTCTGTTTTTTAAATAATAAAATAACTATTTCAAATTTATAAACAAAATTTGTAAAGATCAAATTCATGAACAAATTTTGAAAAGATCAATTTTCTTTTGTTTTTAAAAAATGTTCTTTTCGGGGGTGATTTTATTCAAATACAAATACTTGCAATTTTTGTTCAATATTCTTAATATATTATTCTAATTTTATTTAAAAAAACTATATGTATTTAATATCTTATGCCACATTTTATTAAACAATAAAGATAGTCTAAATACTCAAAACATCACATAATAAAAAGAATGGAATATTATGCATTATCAACAACTAAACTTTTCGTATTTTTAATCATGTTTTAAAAGAATTAATTTTCTCTCTCTGAAATTTTAATCTTTTTAACTTTTATTATTATTCTTCTTCTAATATCTTGAGAGCCTTGAAGTGGAGGGAAAGATAAATTTTTAAGTGAGAAATTTCAAAGAGAAAAATTAAGAGAGAGGGAACAAAAGATATGTTAAATAGAAAAAATAGTGTTAGTCTTTTTCTGGTTCTCTCAAAATTTTATCAATAGTAAAAAAAGAAATAAAAAAATAAAAAAAAAAAGGAAGCAAAAGCTATTTACCACTTACCAGTATGATTGTTATTTTTTAAAATAGAAAACAGAAAAACAAAAAAATTATGGCCTAAATAAAATGAATGAGTTTGAAAATATCTATTTAAATGGCAAAGGGAAAATCTGATTCGGAGCCGAAGTAAAAGTTACCCCGGAAGTAGTCGTAGAAATTCCCTTCTCACCAAAAAGGCAACATTTCTATTTTTTCGAAGGGTTTTTTGGGGGTTCAGTTCAGCCCAGCAACCCGCTTCTTTTATTTCTAGTTCTCTTTTCTCGACACACGGAGGACGCCAACTGAAGCAACTATTTAACAGACAGCGGCGGCGCGGCGCCAATTATCGCCTCTGCGCGCGTGTGCTTTAACAATGGCTTTCGTTTGCCCAGTTGATGCAAAGTACTCCAATGAAATCTCTGCTCTCCTCGCACCTCCTTCACCTCTCCAAGTTCAGGTAATCTCTCTGAATCAGAAAGTTGTCTTTTGTATTTTGACGAGAAGCTGAAACAATAACATAAGAGATCAATCAAAGGGAGCGAGTATACCAGAGTAGGCTTTTCGTATCCACTTACATAGGAAAAGAAGTTTCCATAGTTCTAAAATGTCTTCACTTGTTTTCTGCAGGAATATTTTGACCAGCTTATATGGACAAGGCAGTGTCATGGTCTTCGAGTGAAGCAAGATGGAGCTTTAGGAAAAGGTACATTCTCGTCTGCCTCTGGCCTTCTGAGATTGAATTCCGAAGTTGGCAATGGCTAATATGAATATTTCTTAGTCAATAAATATCTGTTGATAACTTCAATTATTTGAATGCCTTTAGATGGAATCCTGATTCATGTTAGATGAAGTGATTAAAAGTTGTCAATCGAAGTACTGTATTCCGTTGCTTTTAACTGCCAATGAGATTTATCCTCGCGCTTCATGAATTTTCTGGATGCCGAAGCATTTTGTAGGAGAAAATGTCACCTTCTTATCGAAGGAAACCTTCAGAGAGGACTTTTATGAGAAAATATTACATTGAAGCCGAACTTCTATATGAAGCACATTCCTAAGATTCATCTAGTTTTGCTTCTTCTGTACGGAAAGATAAATTTTCAGGTGTCAATCTCTTGCAAACATTTGGTAGCTCTGTAGCAAAAAGTTGGTTAATTGTTTAATGGAAAAGTTACCACTATTTTATTGTGTGCGTCTTGAAGATCATAAAGTATTCTATTAGCATATGATCATATCATTTTCCTTGGATTTCTTCAGTCCAGAATCCTAGTGCTGTTTCTTATCTGTATGTGTGATCAATGTTGGTCTCACGACTCTCACCGCATATATAGTTTTCATCACTTCTGTTGGTCAAACTGCAGGTGTCGTTGCTGATGCTGCCTTCAAAGAAGGGGACCTTGTGTTGAAGGACCAAATTCTCGTGGGTTCTCAGCATACATCAAATAAGGTCTTCAAAATCTGAAATATGACCATTGCATATCAGTTTAATAATTTTTCTTTTCAATGATATTGTTATGTTACTCTCCATTTTCAATTTCTTTGCAGATGGACTGCCTAGTGTGCAGCTTTTGTTTTCGTTTTGTTGGATCTATAGAACTTCAAATTGGAAGGAAATTATATTTTCAAGATCTTGGAGTTTCCAGTAACCATCAATGTGATGAAATGGAGCCTTCATCACCCATGTCAGATGATTGCTGTGAAACTGAATCGGATGATGACCAGGAGATTGCATTTAAAAATAATGAACACATGGGAGGATGTTCTTCCAGCAGTTCTAAAGGTGCGGCTGCTTTACCCAAAGGGCTTGTGGAATCATTGATGAACGGTGGCTTATCATTGCCTTGCTCCAATGAGTTTGCCATGCCTCCGGCCATTCCATGTTCTGGGGGATGTGGTGAAACCTTCTACTGCAGGTAAAGACACTCTTGAATGGTCAAGCATCTAAATGCTTCCCTTCATTTTTTGGATTTTTTTGAAAGGGGAAGGGTGCTGTACTTTCATTATAATTGATGCATTAACAAGAAATTATATATTGGAGGCTTTTGATAATTTTATTTTTGAGGGAAAAAAAATGAAAATAATTTTATTTTTGAAATCAAATAGTTATGTTCTTGGTATTTCTATATCCTTCTTTCTTTCATGAAATTCTTTATTTAGTTACTTCATTGACTTCGGAAGAATAGAAATCTAATTCCCATTTTCTTTTATGATAATCTATGTCAGTGCTTGAGGAGCTTTATTTTTGGAATGTCTTTGACGTTATTTAGCCAGAGAGGTTTGTCAAATTGAAAAGGTCCCTAAAGAAAGGAGTGGTACTGCTGATTTATCAAAATAGAAAAAAGCTTTGATAAGGTCTATTTGTGTAAGAAAGACAGTGAAATACCCACTTAAATATGTATTGCTATGGTTGTTCTGCAGTTTTGTCCTTGTTCTTATCCCAAATTCCCAATAGTTAAAAAAATATATTTTACCAGATCATGTTGGAAATTGGATCAAAGATGAGGAAAATTTTTTTTTGGTTTAATGCTATTGGCAACCTCCTATGGGAAAATCCGATTGGAGAGAAATGGGACATTTTTATAGTCTATGAATTGTCATTTGTCAGGATATTTGGGCATTAGTATGTTTTATTTCCTCTTCTTGGGGAGCTTTATCCGAATTATTCTCCTATAAGTTGTGGCAATTTTGGAGATCTTTTAAAAATCTCCCTTGGGAGGATAGGATTTGTTATCTTCTTTCCTAAGTTGATTTTACTTCTTATTGGTATAGATAACAGTTCTTCCATTTTGAAGTTGTCTGAGTAAGCAAAGCAATTAATATAGTGTTCCATATTATAGTAAATCGTGTGCAGAAGCTGATTGGGAAGTATTCCATTCTTTACTTTGCACTGGGGGAAAAACAGAATCATCACGCAGGGAAGCTCTGCTAAAATTTATACAACATGCTAATGGTAAGTCTCCAACTTGTAAGCTATAGCTGTCATTTATATTTTATTCTCTAACATGGGGCCTTTTTTTTTTCCTTTTTGTGGTGGGTTCCACAGAAACGAATGATATATTCCTTCTTGCTGCAAAGGTACATTCTTCATGATGTGTATTATCTATAATTGTTGTTATTTTTTAGTTGATTTTCAAGTTTGGTTTATTCCATTCATTGAGTGGATTTCATACAACATTGTCTATCAGAGCTTTTGTTCAGTTGATGTTCAGTATATCAAAGCTTATTAAAGAAACTTAGCGTAGTTTGGTGCATTGAAATTATTTGTTTTAACTATTTATCTGAATCTTTATATTGGGAAAATTGTAGTTCAAAGATAGTTAAATTAGAAGATGTCAATGGCCAACTGAGTTTTGAATTTTTTTTTCCAGGCAATTTCTGCCACTATTTTGAAGTATAGGAAGTTAAAGTTGGCTCGTTGTGAAGAGCAAATGAAATTCGGCACATACCCTATTCACAATGTTGTTGATCTATCCATTCTTTTGAAGGCATGGAAGCCAATCTCGATGGGACACAAAAGAAGGTAATTGCTCTGTTTACGGAGTTCTCATATTTGTGCTTTGTGAAATTAGTAGGAAATGCTTTGAACTTCAGCTTCTAGCTTGTGATCACATTATAAGGATGATATGGTGGTCATCAACAATTGAAATGTCATTGTTCAATGCTCTATGTATTGGAAAGTAGGCTGTCTTTTTTCCCTCTGTTTTATTTAGTGTTCAGGTTGTAGGATCACCATTGCTTCCTCTGAATTCGCTTTTCAGTTTATTACCACCAGTTATGATTTAAATTATCATTAGATTCAAGAGCTTATTCCAGTAGAGAGACTTAGTGTGGTTAAATTCAAGTCTTAGCTTTTCAGTTTTTCTTTTTCCTTCTGAAGGATGACTTGAACTCAAGCCGTCATTAATCAGAAGACCATAAGCATTGGATAATGGTCCAATTGAGGCTGACACGGGTTTATAGCTGAAACACGCCACTTTTCGGGTTTATAGCTGAAACACGCCACTTTTTTTTCCTTTACTATTTTGACATCCGTGAGTGGTCAAGCCAATTCTCACGGGACAATCGTCAAACCCTACTACATTGGTTGCTATGGTAACTTGTAGAATATTAAATCTTAGGTAGGTGGCGACTATAGTTTGAATCCATCCTTTTTAAGCTCTTTATATTTATATTGGCCAGCTCCTCTAGGCTACGTTATTACGATATTGTTATACTATTTAACATTGGCAACTACTAACAGTTGCAGGGTTCGATCTTTAGTTTCAATTTCAGTTAGCCTAGAGATGTCTGAAGATTTTTTTTTCTTTTCTATTCTTTTATTGATGTGATAATATGATATTCAAAAGTACTTGTTCTTAGGTGGTGGGATTGCATTGCATTACCAGAAGATGTCGATCCTTCTAATGAAGTTGCATTCCGAATGCAAATAAGAGAGATGGCTTTCACGGTAAATAACATTCTTTGTAAAGATTCCTAGTAATGCAGCTCATGTTGAATATGCTGATCTCAGCAAGACTTTTACCTAATGTGTTATATTTAACCTATGATATTAATCATGCATATTGTTATTCTATTCATGTGAAAATTAGTCCTAGTGACATGTTTGGGCACTAACCATGCAATTTTCAAATCTCAGTCATTGCAGCTCCTCAAGGAAGCAATTTTTGACGAGGGATGTGGACCATGTATCCTTGCAAGTTAGGAATTGATGGGTATTATATGTTTTCCTCTATTTTGTCGAATCTAACGTCAGGTCCTTGACTCTACTACTAGTATTCTCCCTTGAAATCTATGGCCATATAATTGGCATGTTTGAGCTGAATAATCTGTACGTTTCTGTTTGTAACCCTTCTATTTCTTTCTTTTGTTACATGAGAGTAGTTCTCCATCAATTTTTCCTTTCTTCTAACAGCCTAATTGCTATCTGCAAAATTTTGCTTGAGAGTATTAATATCAAATTTATGTATATGCTTAGTGATTTGGTAGTAGCATCACCAGTGGAGGATTACTTCTTGTATATTGACGAACTTCCATCTCCTTACAAGGTTAGAATGCATGTCCCTTGTACAACATTGATCATGGAAATTGCTGACCTTCATGTCTTAATTATGATACCCAATAATTCTTAATGACAGGAAAAGGCTGAGGAAATTACCCGACCCCTTCTCGACGCTCTGGGTGAAAGCTATTCAATTTGTTGTCAGGGTATGTTAGATCTTAGTTTGCATGTTTTATTATTTTAAAGTAATCGTCTCCTTCAGTTAATAACACTGACGATGGCTTAACATCATCTCAGGTACAGCATTTTTCCCTTTACAGAGTTGTATGAATCATTCCTGCTGTCCCAATGCAACAGCGTTCAAAAGAGAGGAGGTATGTGAAATCATGGAAGACCCCTTTAGATCACGAAATAATTCAACGAATTATACAATATCCTTTGTAACATCTTAATCCATTCAAATTATCTTGAATATGGAAAGAGAATCGTGACTGTTCAACACTTTTCTTAATCATAATGTGGTCAGCCGTTATGTGATTTCAGTAAAGTTTGATACTGGAAGTCCCTTTTCTTTATGATCATGGCAGGATAGAGATGGACAAGCAACCATAATTGCAGCGAGGCCCATCAGCACAGGAGAGGAGGTAATTCAAGACTTTCTTTTCATCCTGTATGTTCTCACTCGAGGTTATTTTCATCCAATCGCTTATTCTATAGATGAGATCTGTGCATCTTTTTCAGGTCACAATTTCATATATAGACGAAGACCTACCATTTGAACAGAGACAAGCATTGCTTGCAGACTATGGATTCGAATGCAGGTGCCCCAAATGCTTACATGAGCATCCATAGCATGGGGTTAAAGGGAGCCTTTCTGTTTTAAACAACGCAATTATATATTAATGTTTCAAGAATTCAGCATTAGTTATTTATCCAATCGCTGTAACCATTTGATCGAATGGACACGTAGAAAAAAATGAGTATAATGAAAAAAAAAATTTGATTTGTTATTGCAAATCTGTGTTTACTATTCTGTGAAAGCAAAACCTCAAACGAGGACTCGTCTAAAAGTCCAGAACCATTCAATGGTATAATTAATTGTATAAACTGCAAATTCGTTGATCATTTATAGCATCCTTTGCTGAGGTGGGCATTGGCCAAGTCCCCTTCTTGGAGGTGAATTCAATGACTATTTTTTGCAAGCAAGGTAGATGCCCGATACGATGGCAACTCCAGCAACTGCAACACCTATGGATGTAAAAATCTTCACAACGGGGACTCGTTTTTGCTCAGGCATTTCCAGAAGATCCTTGAGCTGCAAATTCCAGAAGAATATACATGTCAGCAAAGCAGCATTTGAGTCCTTAATTTAAAGAGGTAGTCCAGTCGAATTCCTCGAATACCGGGGAGTTTAACCTACCGTAACAGGCTGCTGCCAATTCTTCTTAATTCCACTAAGGTGACCTTTTCCCACAACTGCAACAACTGAATGGTGCTCCTTGGCTACTCTCAGTAACGTAGATGACATGTACCTGATCACAACAGTTAGATAGATGGGGTCAAAAAATGATCAAGGGTGTGAAAAATAGAAGCCCATAAAAACTAAAGAAAACAATAACAAATGATGTTTCCATATGAAATCAGAACACAGATTTGTGAGAATATAACTGGTTTCGATTTGTAGGTTATTACAATTCTTAGAGTTGGACTTCCTCAGAATAATCTTTTGGTAATTCCATGAAATACAAATCAAGGGGAAAGTACTCTTTATTTGTAAAAACCTATAACCCCTCAACAGCAGAGCCTTCGAGAATATATTTTTCTTAGTCCAGCTGCTAAACATAACTCGAGGATGAATGAAAATCAAGTCTCTTTAAGCTTCAAGGATTCTTTGACAATTTGTTCGATAGAACAGTTAATAAGAATTGTGATGAGGTGGCTTTGCATAGACATTTAGCTAACAGTGAATATATGATCATTAAAAACAGAATTTTGAAAAAGTAAAAAAGGTAACAGCAGAAAGGTAAATGTACTAACTGATCTCGCTCGTGCACAAGGGTGTCCATTAATGTGGGGAATTCCTTGCTCATTTCTTGAATTATGAGCGTGAGCATGTCAACATCATCCATATCCTTCAACTGAAGATAAAAAATAGCAACAGTAAAGTTAGTTTGTGAAGCAATTTCTATTGCCTCAGCAACTAAAATAGAGAACGAGAGGAGAATTATCCTACTTGTGAGGATAAGAGAGTAAATAGAGTAAATGAAATATACCATTTTGGTTAGTTCCTCGGGGCTAGGCAAAAAGAATGCTTGGAAAAGAAAGGAGTAAAGCAGTTTTATCTTATGCCAAAGGGGCATTTTCGCCCATGCCCTCCGTATTGTAATCTGTTGATACATCCAAATCTTAGAAATTATTCAGCTCTATAAACATAACAAGCCGAAAGACACATCGTTAAAGAATATGCAGAGTAGAATGGGATGACAGACGATGATAAAAATCCGAATAACCAGAAATGGAGATGCCTCAGAACTAACATGGGAAAAATGCAATAGGAATAGGATGTCATGTAAATTTAGTAGCCTGCATATTTGGAAAATGAAAATCCGTTCAAACAAAACCAGGACCAAGGAACACAAGGAGAGGATGGACTAGGATATAGAATCAATGCATGCAATAGCATATACAGTGTAAAAAACCTTTAAAGCGACTATCAGGTAGCAATTAAAAGCCCTAAGGATGTTATGAAGCTTAAGCAAACCACGAATTATCCTGTGAACACTCTATCCAACAGCAGGCACTTCTTCAGGGTAAATTACTTTCAATGAAGCAAAAGTAATTGAGACGAACATATTGACCTTTGAAGCAAATATCAGAAAGCAATAAAGATGATTGAAAGAGAGACCATTTTTTTCAAGAAATCCTATGACAAGGTCTATTAAAAAAAAGGGAAAAGATCATACCTGTACCGGACGATCACCAAGAATCACCTTACCACCATACTTCATTGCTTCTTCATAGGCTACACGAAACTCAGAACCAGGAAAAACTTCAAGTTTGTTGGCTACCTAAGATAAAAGCAAAGAAGTGAATTAAGAATAAAATCGTGATCTTTGGAATTGTAATAAAAAAAAAGTGTACCATATACAGAAGATTAAATTAGAACTTGCCTTCGCAAGAAACCAACTGTAAAGTATACCAAAAATGTTATGCTTTTTCTTCCACATTTCAACCATTTCTCCCATAGTTGGTACCTGAAAAAGTAAAGGTGAGTAAGAGCAAAGACAGAAAAAATTGAGGGCTAATGAGAAGGTCTATACATGCTGTATAACACCAAATTTATATAACCGATTTCAATCGATAACCACAATTTTCATGTTCTGAAATTGTTAGAAGCAGAAAACTGAATTTCAACAAGCAATTCGCTTAAATTGAATATAGACCAAATGACAAGCGCACCTTCAAATTCTGAGGTGTGAGGACAGCCACACGGCTTGAGCATAATTCCAAGAAAACAGCCTGCATTAACATACATTGAATAGAAAAAATCATTCAACGGATAACACAAACGCAAATGCAACATGTAAAAACACCTTTTGAAAGCAGGCAGCTAACCTGCAGAATGACCCATCTTTCAATCTAGTATAATTGAGTTTCAAAAAAGAGGAAGCACCTGAGGTTTCAAATAACTGATTACAGCTTCAACTTCTCTGCACGATTCCTGCATCCATACGAGTGATTTACATCAGTTCAAACTCAAGTTCCTCAATCAATTTTGTCAGCTCACAAAACCAAGTAAATTCCGTGAGAGTGCGAGCATATTCACAGCAATCCATATTTCATTTCTCCTCTCATATCCTCCAAAATTTCCAAAAGCAAATATCCCGAAAATATAAGCCAATTTAGCACAATCGAAAATCAGGAAGTTACTTGAGAAACATGTGCTGTTCCAACTAGGTATACGTCACAAATGCCACCTTCATCAGTGGTCTCGCACGTCAATACCATCACGCTTCTAGAAAGCTCCTCCGGAAGGACCCTCCTCTGCTCCGCCAAACCCTCCTCGGCCTCCGGCATAATTACAGAGTCCGCGTCATTAATCTGTTCGTCAGCAGTACTAACAATACTCTCACACAAACTCTCGATAATAGGGTTCTCGATGTGAACAAAATCTTCCACGGCAGGGGGATCAGATTCCGGAGAAACCAGGTCCATCGCCTGGGGCAGAGGGGGAAGCCGACGAGGGCGGTCGGAGTTTGCGGAGAAAAGAATTCCGAGGTTTAATGGGGTTGAAAAATGGCGGTGGGTTTTAAAGGTTAGTGCATGATTGGGACGCCGGAGATGGGATTTGACGGTGGCGGTTACGGGAAACCGTCGTGACTCGAACGAGTTGAGCTGAGTTCGAAAACGAGTCAATCGATTCATACAACTCGGCCGCCTCTGCTCGCCCCGCAGTTCAAGATTGCAATATATTTACATGCCAGCAGTTTTTTTTGTGTGTGTGTCAAATCACGCGTGTCACGTTTTGATTCGTAGCCAAACGCAATAAGTGCCACGAATGGTGCATGTGGAATTAAAAAAATGAGCTAAATCCTAAATGTATATTTTAGTTATAATGTTTAAACTATTTTCGATTTAATCTCTGTTTGTGAATGTTAAAATGGCTGTAAAAACAAAGACGTGTAGGTTATAATGTATTTTTTTTTATACAGTGTAGGTTGTTTTCGAGTTAATAATGGAAATTTTATATAATAATGACTAAAATTGTTTAATTTATTTTTTCCTCTCCACCATTGCTTATTTATTTATTTATTCTCTTTTTTTGGTGCTTTGATGAATCCTTTACTTTGTCTTAATACTTTTTTATGTTATTTTTTCATTGAGGTGGAACATTAATATCACTTCCCAAGTAAGCAAGGAATATACTTCCACTCTCAATAAAAAAAATTTCCAATATTAACTGTTACAATTTTTTTTTCCAATTGATCATTTTAATTTTTCTTATACAATATTCTGAAATGCATGGCGATTTTCCACCAATAGGTTAAGAAACACTTTTGTCCTGTAATTTAAATTTGGTAATAATTTAGTCTTGAATTTTTTTTTTAACTAAACAGGGATCAAATATGTTTTTAATTAAAAATTGTTATATGATAAAATTTGATATTTAATTTTAATAAAAGAAATTTATTGAGACAAATTTTGAACTACCAAAGACTAAATTGGATTTTCGTCGAGAGGTTCTATGATTTAGTAATTGTTTCAAGTAAATGTCCATTCTTATGAGACATAATCAAAGGTTCTATGATTTAGTAACTATTTCAAGTAAATGTCTATTCTTATCTTACAAATTAAAGTTTAGGAGCTAAATTGTTATTTTTGACATCATCAATAATACTAATTTATTCTATATATTTTACTTTAATAAAATAAATATCCAGATTCCTTTTTGATTGTTTGTCAAGGTTTGCAAGATTTGCCCTTGGTAATATTTTGAATATTTTGATTAACAAATTACTACTACTTGGTTCTTCATTTACCTTCTAATTGAACTCTTCTCACCCCCATATAATATATTTTGGAAATTTTAAGTGGAGGACTAAATTAACAAATTACTACTACTAAATTAAAAAATGTCTATTAATTTTAAATTTTGCAACGTAGTTTTCTAGCAATACTCTTTTCTATGTCTCTTTCGTTTTTTCTTATATACAACAAGAATTCAAAATGATTTTCCTAAGGGATTTCAATTTAATTATTTTAATTACTTTGTTTTGTATTTCAGTTAATTTAAACGTGTTCATTTAGACTTTGTATCATCCTTTAAAACATTAGAAAATTTATCAAAATTAAAAGGTCAATAAATGTATATATCCATTAAAGAAAAATCAAAATTAGAATTCAATATACCATAAAACTCAATTATGTCAATACATGTATATACCAATTCAAAAATTAACAAAATACGAAAGTCAATACTGTATATACCAATAATTACCTCACTTAACACGTTTCCTACCCTACTGGCTGTGGGTCGCATGAAATTGCATGAGACCAAAAGGTGGGACGGATCAATATGGAATTATTACCCTACGCTCATTCTATCTTTTCACCCTGGTTGATCATGGTAGGAATAATTCAAATAATCTATGCAACTTCAACATCTCCAGATCAACGCAATTTAAAAAAAAGAATAGCTTATTCCTCCGTCTCTCATATGAGTTTCATAATTATAGGAATTGGTTCTATAAGCGAGACAGGACTCAATGAAACTATTTACAAATAATACTCCTAAAACCCGATGATAGAGATCATACTGAGAAACAGAAGAATTCCGTATGGGTACAACTCTTATTTGAACGAAGTGAAAAAAATGCGATCTTTGTTGTCTAATAGAACAAAGACTAATAYCTTAATTGAGTCAGTCAAGATCAAATCTGTTTATCAAAGTGCTTCTCCGATTGCTCAAKACATCTCTCTCAATCAAAGGTGAGAGTAATAAATTTTATCATTTACCAATAATAATCTTATTTATTACCTTATTTTGAAATTTTAAAAGGATAAATTTCAAAATCTCCCAGCACATTTTTAATAATTTTTTATTAAATCAATTTTCAAATTCTAATTATCAATTTTAAATTAGATTTAAGTTAATTATTTAAATTTCATTATAGAATTCATTCCCTGAAATAAAAGCTCATTACTAATAATTTTTTCTTAAATCAATTTTAAATTAAATTTAAGTTAATTATTCAAATTTCATTATAAAACTCGTTCCCTAAAATAAAAGCTCATTACTAAAATTATGCAAAACATTTTTTAAAACGTGTTATTAATTTTCTGCAATCGGCCATACATTTTCTTTCATTTTGTCAAATGAAACTCATTTTGAATGAAACCGTATTTATCAAAAAAATATAAACTAAAGAAACTAACATATTAATTACATATGATATACAGAAAATTTATCATTACACAGTCCTAAAATTCGATCACGCACTTTATTGGGTTGTACTTTGTGCAACACTCACGGAAATTTTGAAGGAACAGGGGAAACTTAATTAGTTTTTACAAAAATAATTCTTCACAGTTAAATTCAACAAAAATAATTAATTTAACATATTTTCAACTTTTGTTCAGTAATTCATGAAACAAATCGTTCGAGAAAAGTAAAAGAAGATACTGAAAAACAAACGAGATTCATTGAAAACACAATTGTATTTGTTTTATTTTCTTGTTTTGTACAAATTCTAAAACATAGAATATAAAACAGTTCAACGTTTGAACATGACAACCTCATCCACAGTATCTGGTCAACGCAGGATGTTCTTCAACTGGCCTCTATAGATGGATGCTGAACAGAGAGGCAAATTATGACAGACTGGTGTACATGATTCTACCTGTCCAAAGTAAGGTAAAATCTACAGCCGAACTCCATTTTACCACAGACGAAGCTTTAGTTTATGAAACCATCGATCACAACATTCCTTTATTAGAGGAACAAGTTACCTTTGAAAGGAATATAAAACCAAAAAGACACCGGCAGATATTTTTCAAAGATTATTGAACAATTCTGAGCATCAGTTTTAAAAAGCTCGAATTTGGAAACTTCATGGAATGATCAGACATCATGAATATCATCATTTGCTCAGATGGATGTTTTTGAAAGCGTCTTTTCGTGACCATTAATATAGAAACAAAAGTGAAGATGGCTGAAAAGCCTAAAACAGAGCACAGATGCAATTTCAAATCATATTCCAAGTTAAATAATTGATTTAAAGTAGTCAATGGCCGCCGATGCAAATCAACCCCGGGTTAGCAAACGACTGGATATAGCAAAAATAAACATAGTTGCCACAAAATGTCTGTGGTGTTTCCAGGATTAAATGGCATTGAGGTAACCATCAATCAGGATGGCCACAGTAATGAATATGGCGTCCGAGCCATTATGCCAAGAGGAACTGTGTATCCCCCAGAATTGGTAATGGACGCTGTGCGCTAACCTATTATATTTTTACTTAAAATCACACAAAAATTAATCGAAAAACAGTCCTAATGCAACAAATGACTAAACAAAGAAGCTCAGTGGAAGGAGAAGTCGTTTATTATATAGGCTCACGGCATAACTTAGTTAAAAGTTACGGCCACTGCCCAAAACACGTCTAAGTGTTTCATCTCATCATAGCTTCATCTTCCGCTAAACCAATTCTACAACATAAATGCGAGCAACTAAACATTAATGAATCATCAAATATAAAACAAAACTTCAAATTTTAACAAAATAGGCTTCAGTGTGTGTAACAATCAGATCATAGATAGAAAAATCTCACTGAAATCCGCTAAGATTATTAGAAATATCATCATGAGCCCGTCGAAAAAAATATGCAATTCAAGAGAAAAATCAAAACAAGTCAAGAAATCGAAACCACGATTCTAGCGAAATCAAGAGAGTGCTCAGACAGCCAAGGGTATATTAATCAGATCCCGGGAATTGTGCCCAGATCAGAAACTCTAGTCCAATTAAATAGCCTCATCACCGCACCACAGCGCATATCCAAAAGATGAAAAAAGAAATTGAGATTTGCAGTTGAGAGAGGGAGAAAGTAGAGTGCTTTGAAATTGAGCAAACCGCAGAGGGGAAAGATGGAACAGGTTCAGAAAAAAATTCGAATACGAATAGAATCACGAAGCGCACAGATGAAACTCACAAGTTGAGGAAACAAAGATATGAAAGATAAAAGGTCGAATGGTAAATTTATAGGCCATCGACCGGAGAAATTAGGGTTTCTCATTGTCAACTGCTTTAGGGCTTTTCTTAATTTCTTTGGCGCAGCTATTTGGTTGGGCCTTAGCGTAAAAAGACTTAGCCAGCTGTAATCTAGCCCATTAGAGAGGCCCAAGGAGTGAAGCTTCCAGCCTCTTAGACCCATGACTTTCTCCTTTTTTTTTTTTTAATATTCCAATTTAAACATGGAGGCAACAGATTTAAATTTACGACTTAATAATTAATATCTTGTCCATTTGGGTCAAGATAACTCCGCGAATGGTTCAACTTAAAAAAAAAAAAAATGTTCACTATCCATCATCGTTCAATTATCAATTATTGTCATATTCACTTGGTGATATTCATGATCTTTTATAGAAAAATTCATTCTTCGACGACAAGAAGACGTGATACAAATTCATAATATACATTTTCAATTATCTTTATTGATATTGCTGCTATACAGTAGCATGTAATATGTATGAATGTCTTCTGAAACATATGTTCATTAGTTTAAAATCACTTGTTGATTTAAAGTTACGTAACTTTAGGTGCATTAAATCAAATTGAGGACTTATTGATTCAAAATCATGCAACTTCAAATGTATATTAATAAAAGTGAGTTAATCCTACATATTTCTCAAACGTTACCGAAAATAATTCAAAACACGTGTACTCATATATGAATCTAACATTCATGACATTCACATGAATTTCATCGATGGCAAATAATATCCAAAGTTATAATTATCTTAATAAATAAATTTATATTAAACATTTAATATTTATACTAGACGTGCAAATTAAACAAAACCTTACCTTAGAAAAAAAATTCGTGCTGATAATTTATTGTAAAAATGATAGCAAAAAATACTAATTGAAACAATAGTTCAAGAAAATGTAAAAAAAAAATAAAAAATAGATGGAGAGGAAAACGTGAACAATTTTACTTGATTTTATTTGTTCTTCTCGGCATTCGAAACAAAATTTGTTATCAGTAAGTGTCTAGGCACCACCATCCTTGGACCGTTTGAATTAATTATCTCTCAATTCTTTTGATTTACATTGATCAATTTAGACCAATGAACTAACCTATCATCATAGGTAGTTTGTCTTTTTAATTAACCTATATAATTGGTTATTTGTATTATTTGAACAAGAAAAACTTTAAAATGTTTGTGCTTTTCTCAATTCGGACCAATCTTTAACTATGAAGTCTTTATTGGATTTTGGTAAAATATTTGAATGTAAGTTGTTCTATATTGGGATAATACAACGAGGACATGTATTCCAATTACTCTAAAAGAAGCTCATGAACTTGAGTTTTAATCATCTAAATTGAAATATTTAAGTCTGGTATACAAGCTCTAGTTAACTCGATATAATTGGGGTTGGAGACAGAAATTTGTGTGATTATAATAATTTTTCACATAGTAGATATATTGTGAGCCGTGATTTTTTCTTCGGTTTGGAGTTTTTCCACATTAATTATTTTGTTTATTTATTTTATTGTTTTATTTAAATTTCTCAATTATTTTATACTTATTCCTTCTATGAGAATTTTTCCCATTAATCTTATATCATTAAATAAATGGATATGTTCAACGATCATATTTGTTTGTTTACCATAAATAAGTATTGGGTTTGAAGCTCTAATATGACAACACTACAACGGTTAAATGCATGTAGATCGATATCAAACTTTTCAAAATTTAAATCTCTAAAGTTGACTTTTTACTTGAAAATAATTGATACAATAATGATAATGCAAGAGTAACATGGCAAGACAAGGAAAAAGACTAACAAAGACTCATGATACCAACATAATAACAACTATTCATCTTAAAAGTAAAGATGAAGGTTACGCTCCTCACTAACTTTTCAGCAATGAAATTATATATATATATGAATTGTGATCTTTAATAACGTTCAATTGATTATATAAATTTTATTGCTTTGAGTTATTTTTTATTCTTTCGAGATTACTTTTTTACTATAAAAAATTAATTAGAACTTTCCTCGGATGATATGGTAAAATAATGTCATACTCGTAACAAGTAAAGTAAAGAAGGATGGAAAACAACAATTGCCCCTCAAATTTATCTTGAATTCAAAAATTTATATTAAAAGCTTGTTTTCCTTTAATTGAGAATTTATATATACAAAAGAAAAACAGGTAAAATAGTGCCCTTTTTGGCTTAGTCATGGAACGATTTATTTGAACCTTTATTTGATGAGAAATATTACGCTCTCTAATTTTTTTTTATGATATCATTTTTGTAAATTTAAAAATGGTTAGAGTACTAAAATTGTTTTTAAACGTTTGAAATATTCGAGGTTATAATACATTAATCAATCGAATCCTTTGTTGGGTAGAATTAAACAACTAGAAAAGTTATATATGGAAGGGAAGGCCTACAAAACAATAATGAATTTTGTTCTCTTGCACGGATAATTTATTCAAATCAGAATCTTATTAAAAAACAAAAGAAATAAAGAACAGTACAAATTACAGTGGATCACAATTATTCAAGCGACAAATTTCCCCAAGAAAAAAAGACCCCACTAGTTGAAACTAAAAACTAAAAGCACAGAGAACACAAAAGCAAAAGGTCACACTTCAACTTGTGGCAATAAATTATAGATTTTATAACTTAGAACCAATCCATCAACTATTCACCACAGCGCATCGCCTTCTGATCTCACCCTCCGTACCAGTCTTCACTTTAATCCGGCCCATTTTCTCCATTGATGCTGCAAACTCAGCGAAGAACTCTTCAATGGGTCCTTGAACGAGTTTCTGAACGAGAGCCAATGTGGTTTGGTCTGTGGTGAGGGCAGCATCGGATTCGAAAAGGCCCCTTCTTTTGAGAAGAAGAGAGTAGTAGCTAAGGTCAAAAGTGTTGCGACTTCCTGGGTCCATCTCCACCTTGCTGTTGTCGGTGGGAGTTTTGCATTTGTTGGCCTTTAGATTAGCGGCGTATTTGGGGTCGAGAGAGGGGTCTTGGTCTCCAACGCCGGTGAAATTGTAGAGTCGGTTGGAGAACGATGAGCAGTGTGCTATACCGATCGTGTGAGCGCCTGAAGTAATGGTTGCACGTAAGGTGTTTGATACAAGTACTAAATGAAGAATATATGCTCATGGGGTTCTTTAAGACTTTAGTTTTACTTTTAACTCACCTGATAGCAAGACTAAGTCTTTTAGATCAAGGCCTTGGTTTGCAAAAAGTCTTTGGAGTGTTGAAAAGTTTCCAAATGGAGGAGGGATGTCAGCCCGGGCTTCTGATGACCTTGAGATCACTCCGTCCCTTCGGCCAGTTGGAACTTGCCAAAAAGGACCTCCCTGCACATTGAAAATGAACATATTCCATTACACAAGGAAAATGGGTCGATCTTTTGTTTGTTATGTTTTAACTAGAAAAAACGAGCAAAAACAGCCTCAAATTCTGAAATAAGTAAAAGGGCATTTGGTTTTGTTTGAGTGCTTACTATGGCTACAACGGTATCTCTTGCAACCAAGGAAAGAACATCTGCACAAGAGACAACTCCAGGGCATTCGTCTTCAAGTAAGCTTTTGACTCTATCAATGAAGTCAAAGCCTCTGAGTGTTTGATTTGGTGGAGAATCCTTCTCAGCTTGGTTATTTGACGTGGAATTTATCAGCACCGACGCATCACAACCCTGTTAAGTAACACATCAGAGAGAAAGAGCTAATGTTAGTTGCAGAGAGGAGTTATAGGGATTGAGAATTCCCTCTAATAAAGCTAGAAAAGAAGAAGAGAAACAGTACCCTGACGAAACAATCATGGAAGTGCATTCTAATGAAAGTTGCTGCCAGTGAAGGGGCATTGTGGATATGCTGGTGAACGAAATCTAGCACAATCTTTTCAGCCTTTGGGCAGCTTTTGGCATAGAAGCCAAGCTGCAGCTGAGCTTGAGTTGAGCCTATCAGTCCCAGAAGACCAACCACAATGGCCAACGCCAAACAAGTAAGCCGCCCCATTCTCATTCTCCGAATTTACTACTGTTTTGTTAAGTCTTCAACCTGTTTAGAGGAAACAAGTTTTTTACTTGACATTCCAAAACAGAGTGAAGAGGTTATATATCCTAACGGAACAAGCAAGACAAGGAGCAAAATGTTGAAAAAGGTCCACCAGTGGAATTAAAATATTTTCTAGGTATAGCTTTACAGTAATCTGTATTTTAATCAGCCATATTCTATTAGAGGCCAGGTATTATAGATCTAATTAGTTAGGCCCGTTCCTTGTAGGACAACAGGAACAAGCTCCTTTGATTGTGGTACTGTTCAATGATAGAATGTGCTCACAGCAAAGAATCGGAATTCATTTTCTCTTTTCCTTAACGTAATGGCATTGTTTATTCTAAATTTAATTGTTTACAGAAAAGCAGTAGTTAGCCATGATTATCTTTTAAATCATGAGCCATGGGTCCACCTAGATAGATGATTTCTACAAAAAAAAACAAAATCCAGCTAAATATAGGCCATGTCCTGAAAATTATAGATGCATTTACCTTGCATTTTCTTCATAAAAATGCATATTTATCTTTACCCATGTTTGAAAAAAAAATTCATGATTAAAAAACAGAAAAGAACATCTCCTGATTTTGAGGGACTGGTCTAACAAATTTACAATTAAAACTAGCTGTGGATGTGTTACTTATACTGTAAGTTTGCATTGGAGTCCAATTTGACTATATCAAATCTTTGCGATGCTTTATTTATAATTGGTGGTGGATTTGTTGGGTGCAGGCGTCACTAAAGTTTGCAGCCCCAACCATATAATATCCATAAAAAGTACGAAACGACTTGATAGGCTCACCTGCTCTGGGAACAAAGCACGTTATGGGACTATTTTCAATCAATAATTGGGTTCTTGCATGGCGGCCAGACATGACAGCCGCCTTCCAATAGAGAGAGAGAAATGGTTTCATTACTACAAGACTTGGTCCTAATCGTAGAGCTGGGAAGGCACATGCGTGGCCTATCCAACTCCAAAGGAAAAGAAGACAGTGAACCAGTAAACAGCAGCGTCAAAGATTCCTAGTCTCGGCATCAGAGCAAATTTAACGGCCAAAGGCATGTGCTTTGGGAGGAGGTAAGAAAAGAAAATAAAACTCCCACTAACATGTTTGTGTAAGAACTCGAGAAAAATGCTTTCTTTGATTAGGGAGATAGAAGGATGGTCCCAGAAATAGGATAAAGAAAGAAAAGCTTCTGTGCTAGTTGATTATTATAGATTAGGATCAGAAAAGATAATAATATCGTAGTTCCAAACCTTGAAGCCTAGCTGATTGGCAATGGAATTTCTTGCACTACGGTGCAGGATTTGGTATAATTGAGTTCTTTTCCTTTAAATGATGTTCTCCCCTCATAAACTAGTTTGGTACACTGGAACATGTTATTAAATTGCCACTAAGATTTTGTTAATAGACGTAGAATATATTTAATCTTTTTAATACATTCTAAAGTTCTCCTTCCTAAATTAGGAAATTAGTACAATACCTAACATATAGATTATCAATATTAATTAGGAAGAAAATTATGCTAATCTTTTGATTTAAGGGTAATTTAACATGATAGTAAAATGGGGTCATATATCAAGCCTTGCAATATCATTTCTTTGTCAATTAATTAATTTTGAGAATTGTGTGCTGGGTCTATCAGTTTAGAATAATTGCAACACTTTATTCCTGCATAATGAAAAAAGAAAGACGAAGCTTGAAAGGACAAGGTAGGGAACAAAAAATGGCAAAAGTCATACTGTGCCAGCATATCATGCCCCCAAATATTGATTTTAGCCACTCTTTAAGCTTACACAAAGACGAAAAAGGCCCTGTTAGAGGAATGATAACCTTTTTTTTTCCTCTCCTTTGGAACCTTGGATGGGCTTATATCCTCTAAAATAAACATTTACAATACACCCCATCATAGACTGGAACCATAACCAAGGATCCAAAACCCATCTCCACCATAATCTCTATAATGTAGCTTGCAGTTTTGATATCGTTGGATTTATGAGACAGAAACTATAAAAGTGTTCGAATCTATATCCGGGAGTTATTAGAGGCAATAGATTTTCGATTTTACATCAGACGATTATTAAGAGAAGGCCGACAGCCACATTGGGGTGGTTTTTTCTAGTATTTTTTGCTTTACAAAAGCATATTTAATGAACACTTGGATCCAAAAACAGTGTTGTTATTTTCAAATATTCACCAAGCTTAAAAGGTGGTTGGGACCCAGAAAGAAAAAAAACAGGAACCGAAAATGACAAAGTGGTAATATTTGCTATACATAAAGCAAACTTAACAGGAGCTGGGTTTTGTGACTTTTTTTTTTTTTTTAATTTAACCAAATCATTATCCACGCTTTGTGATAATTTGTAGCTGACTTTATAATTATCTATAAGTTTGAATTGTTCTTTCAGATCACTCGAAGCACTTTTTGTCCATCAGAACATCAAAGAAAGGGAAAGGAAATTCAGGGGATCGAAACAAACCAATGAAGTGGCTCATAGCACTTGTGTACTACTCCAATGATCCCTGACAAAAGAAAAGTCGCTACGTGTTGAATGATCAACATCTGACTACTATTAAATTATTGACAAATAAGAGAGTGAAAAAATATATAATTTCTCAAAAAAAGTAACGAGTGAATTTCTTTATGGCGCTCGGCATAGAAATAGGTACTGATCAACACCAAATAAAGCATTAAATGATTTACTTTAGAATTCAAAAGTAGTCAATGATATGAATGGTTTAAATCACTTTGAGAATGATTCCATCATATTTGGAAAATGTTGCTCAAACAATAATCAACTTTGTGGCTCATAAAATGAATGACTTAAATCACTTTAAGAATGATTCATCATAGCCAAAGTGAGCATAGCTTAGTGGTATTTGGCATATACCTCCAAGAATGTCATTCAAACAATAATCAACTTTGTAGCTCATTTGTTATAAATTATAACAACATCTAATCCTAAACTTATGAATTTGAGACATCTCTCGAGGATCAAACTTTCAACTTTAGGAAAGATAATAATTAATTTTTATTTTTAAATAGAAAAGATAATAAGTATTTTATCTACTACTTATCTATACTTTGACTCTTGGATACAATATCTAAGGATAAAGTTCTAAAATTATTTCAAACAAGTAAAGTAAACCACGCTAACGAAAGCGACAAAATACAACGAAGGTACTATAGAATGTTTATTGTTTGGTTTTAAAAAAAAATAACATTTATGAACTTGCAAATGGTGAATTTTTGTTAATTATTCATTCTGTTACATAAATATAATGGATCTCAAGTGAAATAATGATTAACTATCATCCTTCAGATCCAAGTCAATAAGTTTTTCGTTAATTTTACTTAAAAAACAGACTCGACTCTCTTTTAAAGATTACGTTTAAGACTATCAAATTTTAAATTAAATAGTTGGAAGAAAAAGTTCTAATTTATATTTATGAAAAACTTTTTTAGAATTATTAATACGAAATAAAAGTATGACTATTAAAGTTGAAATGAAAATTTCAAATTTAAAGAACTGAGATTTAATCGGTACAAAATGTAATATTTAAAATATTTAATTATTTTATTAGTCCCCACCAAAGAAGAAAAAGGCTTCGTAGATCGAGATTATTTGCAAAAATCACTAATTTCAACTTCGAGTATGAGTTTCACTATTTAATAGAATAATAATATAATCGTTAACATATCCAACCTTTTTTTTTCAAGTAATATCCAATGAAATTTAACACCATTCAATTTTTATTTAAAAAAATGGACCACTCCACTCACCGATGGCGAACCATCAATTATTTACAACGATCAATTATTAATTATTCAATATAAGATGCTTACTTTACCATTTATTAATTTAAAAGTTTATTATTACTTCACTGTCATCGATATTCAAATATTATATATAACAAAAAGGGAAATTCCAACTGTTTTATAATCAGGTATAGGGGTTTTTTTTTTCATTATTATTTTTTCTCGAGAAAGTAACCAAGTATGGTTCGATGGAACAATCAATTTCAAGCTAATCAATAACTTATTATTATTATTTTATAACTGTTTTATAACCAAATATAGGTTTTTCCACTTTCATTTTATTAATCAATTTTTGAGGTTTGAATTTGCTGTCTATATAGTCATGAAATTACAAAAGGAACGCTATTAGTGAAATTTGCAAGAGTATCTAAACTCATTTGATCACTAGTTGACTAACGGAAAAGAAACGCTATCAGTGAAGTTTGAAAAAGTATCTAAACTCATTTGGTCATTAGTTGGATGAGTTTAGAGACCGTTTAAAACCATTTTTCAAACTTCAAAGATTAAAAGTATCTTAGACTAAGTAAACACAATTTCAAAACTCTATGACCAAAAGTATATTTTCCCCTAAAATATATATCTTAGAAAATGGAACTCCGAATCTTCAACCTCTGTGAAAATAAGTAATGCATCAAACTTGCTCACGTCAGTAATAAATAATAAATTATTTTCTTAACTTACAATGCAGTGATGCATTGAAATTCATATTTGTTTGTCCGAGGATATTGAAGTTTATATTAGATATTGATTAATTTGACAGTAAATAATGATAAATTTTAGGAAAAGGGTTTTATTTCATCTTGTATACTATGACATAGTGAGCTAATTTACAAAGTTTAATTTTATCAAAACAAACCATAAACTTGAATAAATAGTAAAATTAATACCACTTTAAAACTATACTCTGAGAATCGTTCCTAGACCAACACATAAATCATACAAAGTTCAACTAACAAAAATATTAAACCCCAAAGTATGTGCCAAAACCCAATCATGCATCATTTAAAAATAGCAACAAGATCGAGCAGGAAAATAAACCTCAAAGAAATCAAACTCAAAGACATCCAAAAACACCCCCTCGCCCCAAACTAATTACATTTTCTAAAAACTAACGGAATGAAAACTAAACTAATAGAAATTAGTTAGTCCAGAAGTTCGACGAGAAAAAAAAAAAACATGTTGCACTTGGCTATGGCTATGGCTATGGTAACTATTACCCAACAGTAAATAACTTTCAAAAAGTGAAATGATTGATCGACCTTATGCATAACTAAATCATTTTTCAGAATTTTGAATAACTTCTCATGCAAAAGTTCCTTAAAATCCATAAACGGCTTCAAGAACATGTATGAAAAAATGAGTGAAAGGAACAACAATTCCAGAGCAAGAATATAAATCTGGACTTTACATACAGTGATACAGTTCTTCTATAAAGTGCCTCCCATTACTTGTTCTTCTCATGAAAAGAATGAAGGCAGATTCTACAAGACATTCTTTATGAACTTGGTTTCAACTATTGATATCTCAACTTCAAAATTATTAAACTTTATGAGCTACAAAACTTTTCAATAACCTTCCCATGTTGGCATGATTTCATGTATGATGTTTCTCTACCTATATATTTAAAAAATCACCCCAAGAGATAATGTAGGAACAAAGAAAATAAATAGGAAATTAGTCATGGTCACCTGAAAGGTCTTGAACTGAAATCGAGTGAAGTGTTCTGGGCAAGCTCCACATGAACATAAACAAAAGAAGATTTCAGAGATTTTGTTGAGTTCGTGGTGATAAGCCTTGAATTTTCATCATGCAATGATATTTAGATGGTGCAACGACGCCGGCCTGTGTGCAAAGAGCCACCACTGCTGGTACATGTCCATAATAATCCCTTCCTTCGTCGACAAGCATGGGAGGATCTTGTGGTCGCCGATGCCATACAATATTTGGAGGAACTAAATCGTCTACATTTGCCTTCTCCCAGAAGTGGGAGCCTCGCCAACTCTCATATTTAAAAACCCCACAAAGTCTAGCTTTGTGTCCTGATGGCCCAACATGAACTTCTGAGCAGTATTTACAGACCTTAGCAGGATAAACCATTAACAGTTTCTGCACACCGGTTCTAAGCGTTTCCCATGCCTTGAGAGTTACATTTGCTAAAGGCATCAGCTCATGACTTGACAACCATTCATCTCTGCCTGAGCCACCACCATCTGAATTCCCAGTGCTTGAAGACAGATTTTCATCATTTGGATTGGCTCCAGCTTGCCAGCATAGCTCGGCAACTGCTGGAACACGTTCAAAGTTGAATCTCTCATCATGTTTAATAACATCTTGGAACATGCGATGGAGGTGAAATGCTTCTACTGGGACAAGAACATCATTCAAATCACCTCCGATCCATTCATGAACCCGATTCTTGGCACCACGTTTGTAACCGCCACAACTCCGTATTAGATGACCTTGCTCACCGACATATACTTCTGGACAAAATCTACAAAATGATCCTAGGAGTTTCAGAAGCACAATTCACAAACATGTATTCAGTTAACAACGAAAATCTAAAATTAGAAAGAACAGACTTACACAATGAGTCTAGGAGTTTTAGAAGCAGCATTCACAAACACGAATTAACATCAACGCCTCAAAATTTTAAAAAGAACAGATTATACATGCGGTCCTAGCGCGTATAAAGAACTAGATAATATATATATATATTATTGTATTCATTGACCTCACTTCATGTACAGGAAATTTCCTATATCTGCTACTAGTCAGGAAACAGAAAATCAAGGTCACGCAGAATTTCTGACAAAAATGGTACTACCCCAATACACAGATGAGTTCAAGGAATATTCAATTTAGATTAAAAACTATGTAAAAAGATAGGAAAAAGAAAAGAAAACAAAGTAAAATCATGACACAAAGATGAGAAATTAAAGAGAGTTTGTTCAACGGACACTGACTTGCAAGAGACAATTGGAAATGCCTTAAGAAGAGTGGAAACTCCATGAATAAGTACTGCCCTAGCTTCAAGAACTTGTTGTGCCACTGGAATCATGGCATTTATAGGATAGAATTTCGCCCGATTTTCAATTCTCTTCGAAATCATTGGACGGAGTTTCTTAAGGTCGACCTTAGAGCTATAGCACCGGTGTAGCATGAATTCCTGCACAACGTTCTGAACCAATTTCCTTCTGAGAGCCACAAAAGCCATAGTTGTCATCAAGGGACAAGCACTAACATTTCCCAAATCTTAAGAGAAAGAAAAGCCACAAACTTGAAAGCATAAATTGAAGTCCTAATCCAATCGCAGCCAAAAGGAGGCATACAAATTCTGGGAGATTTGAGAAAACATAGCGTGAGCCGAGTGGTTGAGACGGCGAGTAAGAGAGATGGTTTAAGGGACAGAGGATGAGATTTCGAGAGACGAGAGAGCTTTCAAAGACAAGAGGGACCAACTAACAGAAATTCGTAGAGATGAGAAGAACAACATACGCTTCGAAACAATTCATTTGCAGAAATGTGAGATCCAAATCAAGTTTTGCAGTTCCAGACATCGATGGGGAAAAAGAGGGCGCCAAGGCTCGAGCGCAAGTGACCACAATCAACCAGACTTGAGAGGTAATCGGCAAAGCGGACCGGTCGGGGTCAGTAGTTTACTTCTACCCATCTAAAAGGCTAAAACGACCGAGCCGAACCAGTAAATCGGGTTCACTAATATAAATCCGAATCGGTCCGATCAGCTCCATTCATTGCTTCAAAATCCGGGTTTTTTCCGGTTTGATTACCTCTATTTCTTTTACCATATGTTTGGAACCAGCTTTGGAAGGATCTGGATTTGATATCTTTTTTTTTAGCATATGGATTTGAAATTATTTTGCGTGTTTGATTGGAATAAAAAATAAATAGAAATCAAAATCTTGATTTGATCTAATAAAAATTTCCATCCAAAATAGATAGTTGAGATCACAACAATTTAAAAGTTGGATAAACAAAAATGAATGAAGAAAATAAAAGAAAAAACATTTGATCTGCTGAAAATAAGTAAAACAAAAATGAAAGAAGAAAAAAAAACATAAGTAATAATTTTAAAAAATTACCAAGTTGCTGAAAGGAGTGAACTTCAACAATTGCCATCCTCTTCTCTTGATTTCTTAATGAATAGGTGGAAATAAAAGTAAAAAATAAAAATCTCTGGTCTAAGTAAATTTTTTCTTTGAAGATAAAAAATGAAACTCCATGCAAGTCTTCAAGAAGAGAAATCCTCAAAAGACTCACCTTCAAGCTACAACGTCACCATGTCATACCAAAAAAATAAACTAGCTTACTGGTTGGTAAGACTAATGATAAAGAAAAAATTAATACTAAAAGAAATTTTGATTTAATTACTCATATGATTCTTATGGTTATATTATTGTTTACTAAGGGCAAAAGTGTTCCAATCAATCACGCGGTGGAAATGGATGAGGACGAGAGACAATAGAGATAAGTATAGGAAGAAATAAAATTAAAAGAAATTTAGGAAAAAAAAATAGAAAATTCTTTTCCTCGAAGTGCTAAAAAGGCCAACCCATCGCAATTGAAGAGAAAGTTGGGCCCATCGGAGATAACCCAATTTTCTATTTTCWCAACTCCCAAGAAGAGCCACCACAATCCTCAATCGCCCACTCCTCCCGATCCAAAACTTCAAGATAGAATTCAAACAGGCCCAACCTTATCCATATTTTACTGTCCCAAAATTTATATTTTTTATTTTCCAACCTAACCATTCTCATGCATCTCCTTTATAATACGTATTTTTACCTTTTTCTTAAATTACCTCAAATATATATGTCTTACTTTTATCTACTTTAATTTTGCCGAAAAAGTTAGTTGGTGTTGCCCCTCCTGCATTCTCATTACGACACATCTCACACGTCCATCTCAAAACTGCTTGAACCGTGCCGGCAACAGGAGTCGACACGCGATCAAGCTTGGAAAATGGAAAATCCCATGACCATGCTGACCGTTTCCTCCTCAGACGCCTATTTTGACCCATCAACCAACAAATTCAAAATCCTTTGTACATAAGAAAATAAATTAATTAAGATTTGAGATGATGAGTTGGATTGAGATCAGTCGTAGTTGTAGATATGATGATGATGATGATGAAGAAGACAAGTATGGATGCAGAGAGTGATGGGCTTCATCCTTACGTGCCTTGCAAATGCACTTCACAACGGACAAGTTTTCATCAACCTCTGAAGATAACAATGGAGAAAAAAGAAAGAAAATCAAAATTCAAGCCAAAACGCATTTTTCTTCGTAACATAACGGAACGGATAAAAATACTGCACCTGAACTTTCTTGGATTTGTAGCTTTCTTTTTTTCTTTATCTAAAAACCATAATTAATTTACTTTTCACTGATCCCAAAAGGGACGCGATCGGTTCCCCTTTTTGGCCTCTTCCCTTATAAATACAAGCCCTTACAGGAAGCTTTTGCATGAGCTTCTCTTCGTTGTAATTGACAGGAAAGAACAGAGAGAAGCAGAAACACAGTTTCGGCCATGGCTGCCTCCTTCTCCGTGCCTTCAATGGTATCCTAACTTTTGCCCTGGAATTTAATTTGGTGGGATGATGTTGGAATTTCAATTCAAATCCCAATTAACCGAACTGTTTGATCGAAATTTGAATGCATTTTAATTTCTCATTCATACATGCAATCTGATTACCATTCAATTCATGGCAGCACAATGTAGCTACTAATAATCGAGATTTTGGATGTACAGATAATGGAAGAAGAAGGAAGATTCGAAGCG